GAGGTAGAGGGAGGGACCAGAGATTTAGGGGTTTAAGATCATCCTCTGCTGTAACGAGTTCGAAGCCAGACATGAGACCCCATCTCAAAAGAGGGGTTTGGAGCATGAAGCACCCAGAATTGAAAGAGATGCCAAGAAGCAGGTTTGAGGCAGAAAATTTTCTTAGGCAAGTCAGGGGTGCTTTCCAGAGGTTAAAGGGTGTTTGATCTAGGCATGAGTGGAGAGCCCTGACCAAGAACCCCCAGTCCAGTAGCAGAAACAGAGACCACATCCAGGCAGGGCCAGAGGTTCGTGTCTCATAAGCTGTCTGATTGTGCAAAGATCCAGGCTACTGGACTGTTATAAGCTGTGTCAGGGTTTCTCTTGGGCAGCCCTGCCCATCTGTGCCTATACAAAGCCTGGGGGAGGTACTGCCATGGTCTCTAGTCTGAGAGATGACCAGTGAGGTCCATCCTAAGTTTTGGTCCATTGATTGCTTCCTGGAAGTTCAGACATTGTTTCAGACATCACTGGATGCATCTGGTATGGACTAGGTACAAATAAAGCATGTTTCAGGGATGTCCCGAGAGTTGTCTAAATGGCTCAGTGAGGAAAGGTACTTGCTGCCAAACCTGCTAACCTGTGTTCAATCCCCAGGATCCATATGGTGGATGGAGAGAGCTAACTCCTGTAGGTTGTCCTCTGACCTCCACACATACGTTGTGGCGTGTGCACGCCTATGCAAACACACCAAATTAATGAAAAGGGGGCCGCATGGTGGTAAAAAGTACTTACTGTGCTCGGTGCTTCTGCAAAGGACTAGAGTTTGATTTAAGCCCCCATGGCAGGTAGTTCACAACCACCCATAATTCTAGACCTGTATCCATCTGTAGTCAGCCTAAGTGTCACAGCCCACTTCTAAGTCAGTCATTTGCAAGGGGTTCTGTGTTCAACATATGTGCCTGGTGAGAAGTTACATGTCACATGAATTGGTGCTACATCTCTGTTTTTTCTCCAGCATGAATTGGCAAGGCCATGAAGTCTGGATACAGGTTCTACTACTTGTGCTCATGGGTCAGCAGGGGGCTGGGGAGGGCAGGCCTGGGGGGGCATAGCCCCCATCAGTTGCCTCACCTACTCCTGGGTTTGGTGGGAGATCTACACCCAGTCCCAGAGAGGGGTACTGTTGAGATGGTCCTAATTCAGTGTCTGGATCCCAGTTCAAGTTGGAGTGGCCTGTGGTAAGTTTCAGCTAAGGGGAGGAGGGATTGGCTAGGAATGGGTTTGTTTTCTGGAAATGACAAGCAAGCACAGAAAACCTGGCATCCTGCCTCTTCCTTTCAGCAGCTGTAAGTCCGTCCAGATGAAGACATGGCATCTGGAGCTGCAGCAGCTATGCTACAACCACGAGGAACAGTGAAGCAGAGGATGCCCTAGGCCTTCATGAGCTTCCCACCTCCAGGCCTGTATCCTGAGAGGCCATTAAATGATCGGCTTCAGAATGTTGCTCAGACTTAACTTCCAACTGAATCCATTTCTAATGGTGATAAATAAAAACCAGTCATTTACGTCATCTGTGGATCATCAGGAAAAGTAACTTTTGAGATAGAGTCTCAATGTGTAGCCCTCGATGGCCTAGAACTTGTTATGTAGACCAGGCTGACATCAGAGATCAGCCTGCCTCTGCCTCCCAAATGTTAGAATTAAAAGTGTGCCCCACCACACCTAATCTGCATGTCATCTAAGCAGCTTTCAAGTCTGGCCTGCCACCTAGGTGGGGGTGGTACTGTATCCCACTCCTCCCACACCTCAATCTCAGAGGTGCCTCCTTGTGTGCTCCTGTGCAGAATTGTTGGGTATTTGTGCATTTTTCATGTAGTCAGGGAGAGAAACTGTTTGCTGCCTCCCAGAGAAAGTTCAGAGGAAATGAATGACTTTCAAATGAAAACATGGTGACATAGCCTTTTTAACTTCTGTTTTATTGTGTGAATGGGTGTTTTGCTGAATATGTGTCTGCGCCATCTACATTCAATGCTTACAGAAACCAGAAAAAGGTGTACAGAAAATAATGTCGGATCCTTGGAACTGGAATTGCAGACCTCTCTCGCTCTCGCTCTCTCTCCCCCACCCCCATAGGATAGTATGGGTTACACAGGGTTTCACTGTGTAGATCTGGCTATCCTGGAACTCAGACCAGGGTGGTCTCAAATTCAAATATCCACCTGCCTCTGCTTCCCAAGTGTTGGGATTAAAGGAGTGCATCACCACCTGGCTATCACAAACAATTCTTAGTCATCTTGTGAGTGCTGGGAGTCAAACCTGGGTCTTCTGAAAGAGCGGTCAGTGCTCTTAACTGCTTGCAGCCATCTCTTCAACCCCATGCATGGGCTTCTTGAGAACCTGTGAGATCCTCTGTGACCAGAGCCAGAAGGGACATGTTGACACTGTCTGGGGGCCTTGGGGAAACACTCAGCCCAGAGAAACACTCAGCCTCTTGCCCTGTGGAATTGCCTGTTGGAATGCAGGCTGCCTTTTGCTTCATGGCGAGAGCTCCCCGCCTTAGTTTGCAGGTAGTGTCCCCTACTAAGTAGGTAGTCACTCCTACGTGTCGTTTGTCATGTTGTTTTAACAGGCTTGGGGTACTCGGCTCCTTCCAGTCCAGACAGCCCCAAGACTAACTTGGCCATCTCCCCACTACAGCATAGCACAAGCTGACTTTCCCAGCTCTGCTTTACTGTTTCCTTCGCTGAAGACTCTAGTTGTGACTTTGTGATCCAAAATGAATCCCAAGGCATGGTCACCTTCCTCTCAATGCCCCTTGGCAGGAGCTTGCCATAAAGGATGTGGCTGCCTCTGCCAGAGACTGTTCAGTTTTCCCACCCTTTGAAGTCAGGCTGTCTGCAGGGTGAACTGTGGTTGTCTCAAAGACTTCATTCTGAAGCCAGAAAACCCAGCCTCTCTGAAATGTGACAGCACAGGAAGTTAGGGCAGGGGGCACTTGCTCTTTCATGTCCCAGAAGTGGAAAGTGGCCTGCAGCTATAGGAGGCCTGGGCATCATGTGGCTTTAGGGGCCAGCCATGGCTCGGCCCATGCCATCAGACCTGGGACCTTTCTTGGATAGAAGCAGAATAAGGCGCATGCCGTAGGAGGCAGACAGCTGGGATGAATGTGGCTGTGGCAGTGTGAGCCCTTCTCTGAGGCTTAGGACACTCAGGACACCCAGAGTCCTGCCTCATCCTGTATGCCTGTAACAGTACACCTGAAGGCATGAACACGATTTGTGAAGCAGGTTCACCAGTTTGAAAAATGGCTTGGCCAGATCCACTAAACCTGAAGATAGACCTCATGCCTGCAGTGTTCCATTGGTAGGTAACATTCAACGTAAGCACATGCCTGTGTCTGCCGATGATGTCCAGCAAGACCTGCCAACAGCACTGATCAGGATAAGGTTGGCCACAAGCTGCCAAATGTCCTGAGCCTTTCACATGCTGAATACCACAGCCTGAATGTCTTAGTTACCCGAATAACAAGGTGACCCTTGGTGTGAACACAGTATAAACTGAAAGATGCCATGTCAATGTAATGTTCCAAGATCGACAAAACGGATAGTGCTGAGGTCCAGAAAGGCCCAACGTAACTGATAGAAATTGTATTTTATTTATCGATTTGGGAACGTAGTCCTGACCATGCTCTAATGTTTGTGGATACTCATCTAGTTCATGTGGACTTTCACAGTGGCTGTTCTATATGGGCACCTTATGACCAGGCGCTGCCAAAGTAGGTAAGAGAAAGCAGACAGACGTCTAGCTGCTGCACACTTTTAATATGAGCACTCTGGCAGCAAATCGCTGTTCGGGACCAGCCTACTCTACCTGCTCTACCAAGTGAATTCCAGGCCAGCCAGGGTTACATAATAAATAGTGAGAGCCTGTCTCTGAAAAACAAGTAACAAGAATGGACTTTTAACGCTAGTATCACAAACACTAAGTGCAGTCCGGCTAATTCCTGCCTCTAATTCCACTGCTGGCTTTCTTACCTTATTTTCTTCACCTGCATGGAAAGGAGCATCTTGTGCTGATGAGAAAGCAGCAGGTGCCATGGAGAAAGCCCAGCAGCGGCTAGGGGTGAGCTGGGGTGGGTTGGTACCACCCCTGCCTGATGTCCTGACCACTATGAATAGTCACATGCCCAGCTACTGGCCCACAGAGTCTACTCTGATGTAGTTCCTGGCTCCAGGGCTGGCATGTGCTCCACAGAGGAAATGGGACTTCTGGAAGGAAGGGTTGTACCCTGGGGAGAGGAGGGATTCATGAGTGTAAGAGAAGGCCGTAACTAAAGAATGCTATTGGATAGCCTCAGGCTCCCCTCTACTCAGCTCCCAGGAAGTGACAAGCTTCCTGCCACACCCAGAACTGTAGCTAAAGGAGGCTTTAGCAATCTTGGGGCCTTGAAGGACCCTGCCCGCGCTCATCTGAGCCCATTGGTATAGGTCTTTTGCTTAGCTTAGCTCTGCCTGAAGTCCCTACAGTTGTCATTGATTCTCAAAGTTCTCCTCGGTTCAGCCTTGAATTCAAGCTATCTTGACCTCCATAGCTGAGTTGGTGCTCTGTGTACACATCTCCCACTTCAGATAGAAGTGTCACTGCCCCTGGCATGCTGAGGGTGGGAGTTAGGGTGCCCAGTTCACAACCTGTGACTGTGCCCGAGGCAGAGCAGCATGAGAGGAAGGAGGTCAAAGACAACTCAGGAAAGTGGTATAGAGATAGGTTTGGGGGTTTAGGTAGGGCTGCACAGGGCAGGTCCTGGTGAGACTGGATGCCTGATTTGGTGAGTCTACGGGGGCTTTGAACACAAAGGGAAATGCAGTACCCTGTGCCAGGTCTGGAGCCAGTTCTCCAGTTTTTGGGTGCTGCTTATGCCCTCTAGAGGCAGTCCAGGGTGCTGGGGCACATGCCCGTCATGTGGCCACCCTGAGGAGGAGGGGCGAGTTAAAAGATTCAGAGAAAGGCTCCATTCTTCCCCCGACCTCAGCCCACCCTGGCTTGGGGGAGGCAAGGGACCAAGAAGCTGGGAGGTGCTAAGTTTAGCAATGTCTGTATCCAAGTCACTTCCCAGGAGGAGGCAGCGAGGGCAGCAGAAGGTTGGGCTCCTTTACACAGGTAGCTAGGCTTCATGAGCAGAGCTCAGAGTCGCAGCCCGGAAGCGTCTAGACTCTGCCTGTGCCATGCCTAGGCTGACCTGTCCAGCCGGAAAGAGGGCGAGTGTGAAGGAAAGTTGGAGAGTGCCCAGATGGAAAGAGGCGGGTGTGAGGAGCGTCAGAGACCCCTGATGACACCATGAGCCCAACGGGACACTGGGAGGCTGATACCACCTGGAGCTGAAGCCTCCCCTGACTGCTTCCTACTTCCTGGACAAGACTATGCCCACTCAGGGGCCCCAGAAGAGGCTTCTGGGTTCTCTCAACTCCACCTCCACAGTCACCCCTCACCTTGGACTGGCCACCAACCAGACAGGGCCTTGGTGCCTGCAGGTGTCTATCCCAGATGGCCTCTTCCTCAGCCTGGGGCTGGTGAGTCTGGTGGAGAACGTGCTGGTCGTGATAGCCATCACCAAAAACCGCAACCTGCACTCACCCATGTATTGCTTCATCTGCTGTCTGGCCCTGTCTGACCTGATGGTGAGTATAAGCATCGTGCTGGAGACTGCCATCATCCTGCTCCTGGAGGCAGGGGCCCTGGTGACCCAGGCTGCTTTGGTGCAGCAGCTGGACAATGTCATGGATGTGCTCATCTGTGGCTCCATGGTGTCCAGCCTGTGCTTCCTCGGTGTCATCGCCATAGATCGCTACATCTCCATCTTCTACGCCCTGCGTTACCACAGCATTGTGACACTGCCCCGGGCACGACGGGCCATTGTGGGCATCTGGGTGGCCAGCATCTTCTTCAGCACCCTCTTTATCACCTACTACAATCACACAGCCGTCCTCCTCTGCCTTGTCACTTTCTTTCTGGCGATGCTGGCTCTCATGGCCATTCTGTATGTCCATATGCTCACTCGAGCTTGCCAGCATGCTCAGGGGATCGCCCGGCTCCACAAGAGGCAGCGCTCTGCCCGCCAAGGCTTCTGCCTTAAGGGTGCCGCCACCCTCACTATCCTTCTGGGGATTTTCTTCCTGTGCTGGGGCCCCTTCTTCCTGCATCTCTTACTCATCGTCCTGTGCCCTCAGCACCCCACCTGCAGCTGCATCTTTAAGAACTTCAACCTCTTCCTGATTCTCATCATCTTCAGCTCCATCGTTGACCCCCTCATCTATGCTTTTCGCAGTCAGGAGCTCCGCATGACACTCAGGGAGGTGCTGCTGTGCTCATGGTGAGCAGGGAGGTGGCTTTTGGTCTCATGGCCAGGGCGCTGGGCAGAGGGTGGCAATGATACCCCATGGGCTGCGTCCTGTGAGACCACAGGTACTGTCATGCCTTCCCGGTCTCTATTTGTCGAAGGGCAGATTAGATGAGCTTTAAAATAGAAACACAAACTGCCTGGGACCAGAAGGAAGGGTAAATGTGACTGCAGGGGTCATCCAGGGTAGCTGTGGGGAATGGAAGAAATGGGATGGGGATTCTAGCTCCAGGCAAGGGTCAGACCACAGGCTCCTGAAAAGACAGTCCCTACCTCTGGGGAGCTTCGCCTCTACTCAGTGACTAGGCGGCCCCACCCAGCTCCTCAGGTCACTCAGGCTGGGCCCTCTACTGCTGGGATGAACAGAAAGTTTCTGAATTAAAAGAATGACAAGAGCCGTAAAGGAGCACTACTCCTGGTGAGGGCTTCTGAAAGGGGAATTTGTGACCGGGAAAATCCAGCCGTAGCCATGCAGTAGGCTGTTCAAGCAAGCGAGGCCCTTCCTCAATAAAGGGACCAGCACTGCAGAACGTACACTTGAGTAATGGGACTGACCTAGAGACTAGTCGTGGTTCATGGCAATCCCGAGAGCTGGGACCCCCCCGAGAGGTGGGACCCAACTGCTCACACAGACACACACACAGACACACACACACACACACACACACACACACACACCCGCCAAGTGCCTCCTCTGGCCTCCATTGGCCTATTAGTGACAGAACCTGTGGCTCTGAGCCAGAAAGCCATTGAAATGCTAAGCTCAGAGGGAGCCTCAGCACCATCTTCCCTAGCTCTGTCTGGAAGTTGCTTCAAGTTTGAGTGGGGAAAGGGTAAGGACAGCAGTCAGGACAGGAAGAAGGGAGTCTCAAAAGCCACGGATGCCTGCCTGCATTAGGAATTCACAGTCCGGAAGCACACCAAATACCCTAATCAGCCCCACTTGGCTTCCTCTGTATTACAAACGCCAGAACAGAGCAAGGAGCTGCAGGTTCAAAAGCCTCCGCTTTACCTCTCTGGTGACAAGACTGTTCAGGCTCCTTCCAATTCAGCCATCCACTGCAGCAGGACCAGAGTCCCAGCCCCTGATGGGGCCCACCTGTAACCTCGGCCAGAGCCTGCCCCTTTCCTGACCTCATTCCTCCAGCACCTTCAGCCATGGCACCACCGAGCTACCCTGAGGAGCCTGTAGCAAAGCATAGGTCAGGGTTGGGGTCTGTTTCTGTTCAACACTGCCCTCCTGGGAGAGACTGGCAGGGCCAGTGCTCTACCAGCCTAGGGAAGTATTTAGACTGTGGCTCTCAGGTTAGAGGAGGTGCCTAGGAGCGCGAGGGTATCTGAGTCCCAGGGAGTGGCACATGGGGTGAGCTACAGTTCTTGCTGCTGTGAAATGGCAGACTCCCCAAGCCCTTCTACTGCTACAACCTGAAATTCCTACTGCAGAGTCTATATTGGGTCCCCCACCGATGCTAAGCACTCCACTGTCCTCCTCCCTGGGGTGGCCTCAGTCTGGACTAATATGCCCTCAACCACCTCTAAGACGGAGTGGCAACAAGCCAGACCCTATCCACACTATCAGCTCCAGCCTTGCTGGACTGAGGTTAGAAGCTGGTTCCCGGCAGGGCCAGCCTTTGCTGGAAGACAGGATCGTGAGTCAGCCTTTATCCTGGCACTGTAGCTCTCTGGGGACACGGGGATATGGCCTGGCCTGATGTCATCTGACAGGGAGGCAGCCCAGGCCTCTGAATGCATCTTCCCTGTCCAGACAAGGAGACAGAGCCAGATGCTCACCCAGGACTTCTTGAACCAGGCCAGCTGGAAACCAGCTACAAAAAGCCACATCATGGACACATTGTGGGGGAGGAGCATCTCTTGAGAACAAAAGACCCATTTCTAAACTCAGCTAACTCAGAAGCTTATCCTCAGAGAAGAGTTGTACACAGCCACTCTATCCAGCACACGCCTGTGCAAACTGGACAAAGGCACCGGCAGGTTGCTTTTAGCTGCTCTTGTGAAATGAATGTTTTTGGACCATCTATGTGTGGTAGTACTATCTCAAACTCTTCCAGAACTTCTGCCATTGAAATATCAAAAAGTCCCCATGAGGTGTCACTGGCTATAGATGAATATTAAATCAGTGTTGTATATGAACACATTGCATGTCTTCTTCAGACCGGTTGGCTCTTCCTCCCAATGGGCCCCCTCCACACACAGTCAGTGTCCTTACCTAGTAGCTCCAGCTCACTCTATGCCCCCTTTTTGCCTTCACTTGTACCAAAAGTGAAAGGGAGGATACCAATGACATCAGGAATGGTTCAGGCAGAAGACATTGTTCAGCATCCTCCACTGACTGGCTTATATCTCCTTAAGTGAATTTTCCACGCAGATATTCAAGAAACAGGGTTACTTGCCAGAAACTGTGCATCCTCGTATCCCAGGTACATCTGCACCCTCATGCCAACCCTTTGTGGAGCAAGGGACTGGTAGCCCTTTCTCCTCCAGAAAACAGTGACCTCAGAGTTGGAGCTAAAATCCACCACCTTCCTGACTTGCGTTCCCAGTTCTGCACAGAAATATCAAGGAGGCTCCAGCTTTCCCAAGCTCGCACACCCCAAGGAACCCAGCAAACTCAGAGAATATGGGTCTTGATTCTTAAGCACGTGAGAGTAAAAAAGACCTTCTTCACAAAGCTGCAGGGTGGGGTTGGGGCAGGGACGAAATGGGGAGGGTAGCTACTGGGGTGGGGCATTGAGGAACCTGGGCTCTCTATTGTCCCCAGAGCCGAAGGCCCTCCGGTGGCCCCTCCTCCGAAGGCGCGGCCAGACATGCTCCGCATTGTGCGGGCGGAACTCGATGCGTGGTGCTGATGCTGCAGAGCCTGCCGCATTCTGCGGCAGCGCCCCAGCATTGGTTGGCAGCACTGACATCAGCTAGCGAGGGCGGGGCAGCCTCTTATAAGAGGGCGCGGCAGAGGCCACCGATCCTCCGCAGCCCGCTGTCCGCCTGCTTCTCAACTCAAGCCGTTTGAAGTCAGCATGAGGGAGATCGTGCACATCCAGGCCGGCCAGTGCGGCAACCAGATAGGGGCCAAGGTGAGGCTGAGCCGTCCGGCGTCCTGCGTCCCCACGAGGGCCAGCCCCGGGGGGGGGGGGGAGGAGAAAGAAACTGTTCTGGAAGCCTCCAGCGGAACAAAGGGAGGAGCCCAGCCCCTTGCCCAGCCCCTTGCCCGGCTCCTGGGACCCTGGGATCCCCAATCAGCTCCCCTCACTCGCGTCACTTTGCTCCGCACCTAGGTGGCTGCGGACAGCTAGCGGCAAACCCTTCTGACTTTCACTTCCATCCATTCTGCTCACCCACACACACCATGGCTCCAGCAGGTACAGTGGATATGGTTGGGGGCGCCGACTGGGCGTGGCCTTCTTTGAGACTGCCACTTAAGCCTTGAGTAAGATGGGTGTGTCGGGCAACTTTGGGTGGGGCTCTCCCCTAAAGCCATAATGACTGTACATGCCCGAACCCCTACTGAAGAACTGGACGGTCTTCAAGAAGCAAGGCCGCCCTCACATCCTCAGCCTTGCTCAGAACACCCTCAGCTTCCTTGCCCCACCCTGTTCCTTTGTTGGAGGGGTTGGGCCTGGACTCCGATGACCTTGGTCCAGAACTGGATTCTCCCTATTTTTTGCAAATCTCCCATCTCTAACTGCTCCCTCCCAGAGCCTCCCACTGGGGATTGAGCACAGAACAAAGCCGACTGCAAGGATGGCCTGTTTCTCCTCTATTGTTAGCCCCCCACCAGGTGTTGAAGCCTAGGCAAAAAGGGGGGGGAGGGTTGGTGCAGTGACTCTGCATCCCGACTATGATTAGTGAGGTAGCTGTCCTGTTTCCACGCCCTAGGATTCCTTACTCAAGGTCACGCAGCCAGTGGGAGACAGAACCGCTTGATGATCCCTGCAGAAGCCCAACTTGGGATTGGGTTGGGTCTGGGTGGGTGGGGTCAGCTACCTCCTTCTTCTCCCTTCTGAACTATTGTTTGAGCTCCATATTTGAGAGGAGCTTTGTCCAGGCGGATGCTGGACGCTAGACGCGGCTCGGCGTATAGCTAGTTCCCAAAGGAGGAGGTGGGATAGACAGGTCCTGGAAGGGAGGGGACAGAAGCAAAGATTACCTCTGGAGGCTGTTGCCATAGAAACCGGGCAGGAACAAAAAGCTAATTACCATGGGCTGGGGCGGTCACGTGGCTGACATGTAAATTGCAAGTTTGGCTCTAGGGTGGAGGTTCCTCTAGTTAGGGGGTGGGGAGGGAAGCAGCACCAGGGAGGCTCCCTAATCACTGAAGAGACAGCTGTTCCTATTCTAGAGAGGAACTTGGGGAGGGGGCTTGCAGGGGAAGCCCAAGATCAAATCAGGACTCCTGGGGTAATCACTGACAGCTGCCCCCGCCTGAAGGGAGGGTGAGCGCTCATTAATGTGGTCACAGGTGCCAGGCCTTCCGTGAACATCTGCGCCTGGAAAGGCCAGGGGTGAGTGGGGGAGGGGACCCTGCGATCCCAAGGCCTGTTGGGTGGTTCTCCTGTACTAGCACTGGTGCTGTGCTGTGCTCACACTGCCTCCTGTTTAGCAAGGGCCTGGAAATCAGGTCCGTACCCAGACCAGACTCTGTCCGTCCCAGAAATGGGAGTTCCGAATGCCAGACTCAGCAGAGCTTGGTCTGCTTCTCAGCACTGTGGCCCTTAGGCCACAGTTTTTATTCTTTTGAGGCTTTTGATGTGTGTGCTTTTTTTTTTTTAATTACATGTTTTTAAATTTTGAATACCTGATCCTTTTTTAACAGGGCAAACAATGAGTAAACTATCTGGGCAGGCGTGTCTTCCTTTCCCATTGTCTCCCTGCATGGGTGTAGTAGTCAGTATGAGGCCCTCTGACCTAGAAGATCCCCCAGAGACCCGACAGAAGGGCGGGCCAGGCCCTGTGGGGATTGACTCGCTTTGCATCTGCCCCAGGCCATTTGAACTTCCTTGGCCAGATTTACTTCCTGTATTGCAGCTGGCTTTAGGGTCCCTGGTGTTAGCTGCAGCGGGGAAAGTTTTCCCTGCCACCTGAAGCAGCTGAGGGAGTGAGCGTCAAGGGCTGGTTTTCTGCTTGTGGGTCCTTGGGTGGTGCCTATCTTGGCACAAAGGGCCACTGGCTTCAGAGAGGTGACTGGGCAGAGGTGTGGGTGGCGTGGAGACAAGAAGTGTGAGGTCAGGAGGAAATGCTTGGAAGCAACAGAAGAGGTGCATCAGCAATGCATAAGGTCACTGTCTCCTGGGAGTGAAGCCCTGGGTGTGTGTGGTGTGGGTATCACCCTCCCTTAAGGCTGAGAAAGATGAAGGTTCTAGATGTTGAGTCACTTGCCTTGGATCACACCATGGATTGGAGCAAGGCAGGAATTTTAGTATAGGTGTGTGCAGATGTGTCAAGGTGGGTGGTGACATGGGCCCTCACCTAGGAGCAGAAATGACTGGGCCACCCTTTTTGTTTCTTTTGCTGGGGCCTGGGATCCTAGATTCATTCTCCTATAAAGGCGTCCCCTAGAAAATATCT